AGATGTTCTTGTTATTATTGAGGTTAATAATGGTGATGATCTGCTGTGTCTGGGTCAGAGAGGGAAATCTGCACAGCTCCTTTTCACAGAGGCTTCTCTGGAGGAGCCAAGGGCTCCCCAGCTTGGCTATGGTTCCAGGAATAGAATAAAGATCTTCCCTCCATTCCTCTGCCCTTTCCTCTCCCATTTCTTTAAAATTCTGGGGGGAAAGGGGAGAACCTTATAAAATCTCCATCAACCCCGTCATTTTCTTCTGCTCTTTAGTTCACTAAAATGCACGTCTTAGAGCTTTCTGGGAGCTCCCTCCTTGTGAAGGAGCAGAGTTTGACAAGCTGTTACCCGTCCAGGTCCCCATACATTTTCTGACTCTAACCCAGGAGGGAACCTAGGATTACCTTCTGTGGTACATGAAATTCTCCCTTTATCCTTAGCTTTTTCCAGCATCTGCCTTTTTTGGTCCTAGGTGCCTGCCCTAGTAGGGCAGGTCAGCAGCCAAGAATAGAGTAGGACACCTTAAGATATCCTCATCAAACTCTAAAAGTGTTTCCAGTTTCCTTTCCATTCCACAATCCTGGGAGCATTGGGCCAGGGAGTACTCGGTAAACTAAGGCCAGACTAATTTTTAGATCTTTTCAAGCAACATTTAGGCTCCTTTAAAAGTCCTTCTCCTAACAAAGAAGTTCAGGTTTCAAACCTCCAGCAGAACAAGCTTTCTGCATCCACACTTCAGAATTTTTAACAACAAAACAATATTTAGAGTAAGAAGTAAAGTTTGCATCCAAGAGAGAAAGAGGCAACCCAAATCAAGTTTTAAAGGGATTATAATCCAGCAGCCTTGGATGAGAGGGGGGGGGGGTCAATGAAGCTGGGATGAGCAAAGAAGGGGGTGGGGAACCCAACCACTAACTAACAATTTCTCCAGCATAAAAATGAAACATCAAATTCGTTAGCCCAGGGCCTTCATTTTTCCCCTTCCACATTATAACTAGTTATTGAACTCGCTGGAAGATCTAAAGGCCATTTGCGAAGAGACAAATTTCAATGGAGTTTCCCCATCAATAACCCCATGGCAGTGACCTATTGGAACAAGTCAAACACCCGAGGTGAAATGCAGGTCACTCTGTCTAACCAATATTAAAATGCGGCCACTTTTTAAAAAGCCACTTTAAACGAGATTTGAGGAAAATTGAATTTCAAGGAAGGCATGGCAAGGCGGGGGAAATCCACGGGAGGACCTTGCCTATGGTCTCAGAACAAACAAGAGAAATTCATCTTTAATATTTTAAAGGGGGGCAAATTAACATTCCATGATTTTTTTTTTTTTTTTTTTTTTTTTTTTTTTGAGGCTATAAACGATTCCAGGAGGAAAAAAAAGGTTGAGTATTTTCTGGTGACACGTCCGGGTTATTAAAATCATTTTAGACCAATTCATTACTTTTACTGACAAGAGATTTAAGAAAAAATCAATTAAGTATTTGCATATTCTTTTGCATATATTAGCCTGGCCTGCTAGCATTAGAAAGGGACAAAAACACACATATATCCACATATATCCACGTACTTGCGCGTACACACACACACACAAAAGAAAAATGGTATGAGAGTCTTGTTCCAATTTGGGGTTTTCAAGTTTTGGCGGGGGAAGGGTTAGAAAGATCTAAATGAAATGAATTAATTGCCTGATTGCATATCATCTAAAAGTCTATTTATTTGAGGAAAAGGAAAAAGACATGATGCAATTTTTAATTCCTAAAACATCAACAATCACAACGTAAAACCAAACACATACATGTAAAAATAAACTGCACTTTTGAGATTGGGAAAGGAATGACCCTCGATTTCCTTCTCTTTGCTCTCCAAATTCTCCATTGCTTCTCTCATTTATTTTTCTCCCTTGGAAGATCCAGGGAACGTGAGAGGTGAGATTTTAATGCAGCACAGAATCTGTGGAGCCGCTGAGGTCTCTCAGCCAGCAGCTTGTTACTGGGGAGGGGAGGAATATGGGTTATCCAACGGTCAGTATGGTAATCCAGGCACAATAAGGCCTCACACACAATGGACACATATTTTTCTTCAGTGGTGTCAGAAGGGAAGCGCTTTGTACTGAAACATGTTTCCTAAAGAGAAACCAGATCGAGATTTAAAAAGGAGATGGGGTTAGGGGCGGCGTGCAGAGAGCATTTGGATTCTGGCAAAAGGTAGTCAGAAAAACATTAAAAAATAGAACATAAAATTGGGGCAGAGCGAGGTGAAGGGCAGAGCAGAGATGGAGGTGGAGGTCCTTGTGCTGGCAAGGCAAGAGGCAGGAGGGGAAGCACAAAAGAAGGCAGGACCAGATAGAAGGTTCATCACAGGCAGAGCTGCATTAGTACCCCTTTCCCATCCCATTTTAGCCATTGCTAAGTGCAGGAGCCCTCCAAAAGGATTTTATTTCCATACTTGTAATAATAATTCCAGGTAAAAATATTTGTATGTGTATGTTTGGTGAGGTATTTTATTTATGTGATAGGTGACTTCCTTACTATTAAGCTGCAGGAGCCTAAAGAGAGTTGGGGGTTGGTGGGTTGGTTTTGTAATGATGTAGATAAGTGTGGGCACATTTGGGGCTATCTCCTGGCTTTTACTTTCTGGATATTCGGGTTGCATTGGCTGTGCAAACCTGGATTGAGAACTCAATGTATTTATGGCTGCATAAAGGACATTTAATATTTTAATAAGAATTAATAGTGTGTATGCATATATATATTGTTAACCTTAATACCAAAGATAGACTTGACATTCAATGGGAAGCATTTGAACCCTCTGTGTCTACCTACTCATATTTGCCCAAGAGGTCTCCTCAACCCTCCTACAAGAGCTCAAAAACCTGGGAGGAGCAGCATAGCAGGATAAGTTCAGGAGGGTGAGGGTTGAAGAAAAGAGGGTTAAAATGGGGAGCAGGATTGGTAGAAGGTGGATGTGAAGGATAGAAGGAGGGGAACCAGGCAGAGAGCTCACTTCTTCAGGTGAGAAAGAGAATTTTCTCAGCTGGGATGATCTGGGAACCAGGTGCAGGCCTAGAAGGGAGATTGGGGGTGGGGATGGAAGTATTTCTCTCCCTTCACCAACCCTTCCCCCACCCTACTAGAGCTCTCTGGAGCTTTGAACCTTCCCATGGGGGCAGTCTGAGGCTACTGTTCAAACTTTTGTAGTTCCAGATTCAAAACTAGTTTCCCTTTGCCCTCTTCCAGCAACCAGTAATTAATGCCCACCCCACAACAATTACAAGACAGAAAACCCTCACACAGTTCCCAACCACCAACAACCAAGTAACTGCTTCTCCCTCACTCACAACTTCAAGTTCCACTTCCAACCATCACACTCACAGGGTCCTGCACCATGTGGGCAGGAGTTCTTCATCAACTTCAGAAGTTTGGGAATCTCCTGTAAGAGAAGGCATACCTCCAGGGAATTCCTGTTCCCTTACTTAGCTGGTGACAGTGGGGGCAGGACCCTGTCCTCCTGGGGAGTGATGGTATGCAGGGACCTCCCCAAGCACCAGCCCCCACAGGACCAAGAACTGGTCGGGGTGGACCTGGGCTGGGATGGGAGTCTAATCATTGGAGCAGGACAGGCGGCTAGGGTCCCAGGCTAGAACTGGCCCCTTTGAGCATTACCTGTGGCCCATCTTCCCTCTCATTCCAGCCCTCAAGGTGAGCCCTAATTTGTAAGTGGGGACCCTCTCACACATCCCAAAGCTGGTGAGAGAAGGTTGGGAATCTCCTACCTTCATTCTCCCTCACAAGGGCTTTATTTTTTTTTCCCTTTCGCCTCCTCATTCCCTTAATTGCAGATGTTCTAATTAAACCTTCAAATAGTTGTTATGCCGTTTTAAAAGGTACTTATTCAAGTGTCAACCAGGCTGGGCTGGGAGGAGGCAGCGTAGGGCTGCGAATTAAAGGTAGATTGACTAATCACGGCGGCGATCATAATAATAAAATCAGAGGGAAAAAATCACATTACGACTTTTCGTGGAAAGGAGGGAGCAGGCAGCCAGCGGCCGCCAGCCCTGCGCCGCCGCCGACACAAAGAGTGCGGGCGATTCCGCGAGACTGATTTATGACGTTTTACAGCCCTATAAAAGCTGTAGCGACGAGGCAAGCGCTCCTACCACCGCTGGCAGATTTAGTCTAATAAATAAAACATAAACAGTTAACTTTATGTGTCACTTTTATTGTTATCAAGTAAAATATAGCCGAGCCCCGGCAAGCTATGATTTTAAACTATAATTGTTATCAAGTACAACAAGGGGACCCGGCTCCCTCCCTGGGCTTTCCCTTCTGCAACCGCCCCCCCCCCCCCACTCTGAGTTATGGATGATCAGTTAATTAGAATTGGTGGTATGATGTGGCCACCCTCGCTGAGGGAGGGGGGCTGGGAAAGCAGCCTTTCCCTGCCCCTCCCTCCTCTATGGTCCTGCCACCCCCCACATTATGGTATTCCTGTGGGTGGGTGGCAGAGGGAGAGGAAGGCTGAGAATGAGCTGGAGAACCCCCAAGACCTGCCCTACCTCCCCAGCTTGGTGACCCCATCCCTCCTTTTTGGAAGGCAGCCTAGAGCTGGCCCTTGGGAAATATGTGTTTACATGTAAACACACGTGTTACATGGATACAGTCCCTGGCCGGAAGCAAGCAGGCTCTACACAGATAGGCCTCCCTTTTAGCTAGGTCTTCTCTCTGTGGGGATGGGGAAGGAAGACTTCCCAGGACCCTGACTGGGCACCATCATGGGACACTGACCTCTTCCTCAAAAAGCTCTTCTCTTTGCCAGAGCTCCTTAGGGGCCAGTCTGGAGGTAGTTGTCAGAAAACAGAAGGCCCAGCAGCGTGGAGAGTGGAAACAGGAGCCAGCAGTAGAAGAGATCCTTTGCTCTAGGTCTGGGACAGGGAGGGTCAGTGGGTAGTAGGGGAGGGCAAGGCTTCTGAACTCTGCTTTTGCCAACCACTTCCTGTCTCTCTTCAGCGGGGGGCTCAACCCCAAGACCTCCAGAAATGACGTCAGAATCATTTGCATCCTGGCTGCCTCTACCTGCCTGGTCCAGCTGGGGACCCTGCCTCGCCGTCCCCGTGGCCAGAGGGTTGGGTGAGTGTGTAGGGGGGAGGGTGGCTGGACTTTGGGATCCTTGGATCCTTGGCACCCCAGGCTCTCCAGCCTCCTCGGCTTAGCCTGGGCCCCTCCCCATCCAACCTCCACTCCAGTCCTCATTCAACTTCCTCTTCCTGCGAAAGAGGGGCGCTGCCTGGTGACCTACACAGATTGAAACACGATCGCCATGAATGGAGACCGCTGGAAAAGCACTGGAGCAGAGGCCCACTGGGCCAACTGGAGGCCGGAGAGAAGACCCTGGGCGGGGGCTGAAGCACAGCCTTCCGGCAGCCCCCAAATGCCCAGGCTTTGGAGAGGAGCTGGAAGCTTCCCAACCCCTTTTGCAGGGGTCAGTTGTATGTCTGGCGGGGCGTGCGCTAGGGGGGCACCCCAGCCCCTACCAGCTATCACCCCATCACCCCCCCACACAAGCAGCAGCACCACCACACACACAAAAAATTGGATACATTTTGAATAAAGCGATTCGGTTCCTTATCCGGGGACTGGGTTGCTCCGTGTGATTGGCCGGCGGAGTCACATGGTGAAAGTAACTTTACAGGGTCGCTAGCTAGTAGGAGGGCTTTATGGAGCAGAAAAACGACAAAGCGAGAAAAATTATTTTCCACTCCAGAAATTAATGATCATGAGCTCGTATTTGATGGACTCTAACTACATCGATCCGAAATTTCCTCCATGCGAAGAATATTCGCAAAATAGCTACATCCCTGAACACAGTCCGGAATATTACGGCCGGACCAGGGAATCGGGATTCCAGCATCACCACCAGGAGCTGTACCCACCACCGCCTCCGCGCCCTAGCTACCCTGAGCGCCAGTATAGCTGCACCAGTCTCCAGGGGCCGGGCAATTCGCGAGGCCACGGGCCGGCCCAGGCGGGCCACCATCACCCCGAGAAATCGCAGCCGCTCTGCGAGCCGGCGCCTCTCTCAGGCGCCTCCGCCTCCCCGTCCCCAGCCCCGCCAGCCTGCAGCCAGCCAGCCCCCGACCATCCCTCCAGCGCCGCCAGCAAGCAACCCATAGTCTACCCATGGATGAAAAAAATTCACGTTAGCACGGGTAGGCAACTTTGCTTTTTGCTCCCCCCTCCCTTCCCTCTTTCCCGGCGCTCCCCACCCTCCCTGGCCCCCTCCGGCCCCCGTCCTCCTTTCTCTCCTTCCCCCTCTCTCTCCAGGAGCGACTCTGGGTTAGCACAATTGAACTGGATTTACGAGCGAGAATGGGTAATTACATCCCCCATAAATTTTATGGCTTAGCTACTCTGGGCAGTCCGAGCCATGTGCTACGATCTGTTATGTATGTGTGAAAACTATGCTCGCTTTCTAAGGGCGCATAAATAATTCAGTGTCGTTACAATGAGGATTCCCCTCTTATTACACTACAAAGTCTCTAGCTTCCTTCAACTTCTTTATAACCCATTTAGCTTGATGACTTTATTTCCACCACTCCCTCCTCCTGTTCCTCAAAGCTGAGGATGGGGTGAGGGTGGGGGGCGGCGAGCCTCACTTGCCTCTGAACCCCACTATTTGCTTTTCCCCTCCCCCGCCCCCTCAGTGAACCCCAATTATAACGGAGGGGAGCCCAAGCGCTCGAGGACAGCCTACACCCGGCAGCAAGTCCTGGAATTAGAGAAAGAGTTTCATTACAACCGCTACCTGACCCGAAGGAGAAGGATCGAGATCGCCCACTCGCTGTGCCTCTCTGAGAGGCAGATCAAAATCTGGTTCCAAAACCGTCGCATGAAATGGAAGAAGGACCACCGACTCCCCAACACCAAAGTCAGGTCAGCGCCCCCGGCCGGCGCTGCGCCCAGCACCCTCTCCGCAGCCACCCCGGGCACTTCTGAAGACCACTCCCAGAGCGCCACGCCGCCGGAGCAGCAACGGGCAGAGGACATTACCAGGTTATAAAACATAACTCACACCCCTGCCCCCACCCCATGCCCCCATCCTCCCCTCACACACAAATTGACTCTTATTTATAGAATTTAATATATATATATATTTTGGTTCTTTTCTTTCTCCCACCTCCTCCCTTGTCAATTCAAACAGACAAAACAGATAAACAAACAAGCCCCCTGCCCTTCTCTCCCTTCCACTGTTTAGGACCCTTTTAAGCATGTGATGTTGTCTTAGCATGGTACCTGCTGGGGTTTTTTTTAAAGGTCATTTGGGGGGTTATTTATTTTTTAAGAAAAAAAGCTGCAAAAATATATATTGCAAGGTGCGATGGTCTGGTTTGGGTGAATTTCAGGGGAAATGAGGAAAAGAAAAAAGGAAAGGGAGATTTTTAAGCCAATTCTCATCCTTCTTCTCCTCCTCCTTCCCCCCTCTTTCCTTAGGCCTTTTGCATTGAAAATGCACCAGGGGAGGTTAGTGAGGGGGAAGTCATTTTAAGGAGAACAAAGCTATGAAGTTCTTTTGTATTATTGTGGGGGGGTGGGAGGAGGGGGGAGGACAGCAGACAAAGCTAAATGCATCTGGAGAGCCTCTCAGAGCTGTTCAGTTTGAGGAGCCAAAAGAAAATCAAAATGAACTTTCAGTTCAAAGAGGCAGTCTATAGGTAGAATCTCCCCCCACCCCCATCGTGGTTATTGTGTTTTTGGACTGAATTTACTTGATTATTGTAAAACTTGCAATAAAGAATTTTAGTGTTGATGTGAAATGCCCCATGATCAATAATAAACCAGTGGATGTGAATTAGTTTTACGTCAATGTCTGTTGGTTTCTTTTTATCCCCCTCCTACTGGCCTGGTAACATCCCACCTTTTCTATAGTTGCTTAAGTTTACTCTAAGCAAACACACAAACCTTAACTCTCAACTCCAGTTTCCAATGTCCTTAGAAGAATCAGTTTGGGGTTGGGGGTAAGGGATATGGGAGATTGTGACTGATTTCTCCTGTCCCTTCTTTTTGAATCTTCAGAGAAGCCAAACTCGGGTGTGCTTAAGTGGAGCTGGGGTGTGTGTGTGGGGGGGCCGGGCATGGGGGGAGGTCCACTTTTCTATAGTTAGGTACAATCTCTTCATTTTGTCTATTCCTCTGCCTCTTCTCCATTCTGTCTTCTGGCAAGTAGGCCTGCCTAATCTACAGACTAGAAGGGAAGTTAAGGGGAGTGGGAAAGAGAAAACTTTTCATCCTTTAGGAATCTTTTTGGGGGTGGAGATTGAGAAAGATGTCCCCTCCACATTAGCAATTCTCCTTAAAAGAGGAAAGGGTTTTGAGCTAGTGATTCTGAAGCAGCAAAGTAACCTGTCAGGATGGTTTCTCTGTTTGTTTAGACTTGGGGAAAAGGGTGAAGTGGAGGCCAAAGGCCTGGAAGGCCCCCTTGCCTGGGTACACCTCAAAGGCTGATGGCTGGAGATAATGAAGGACTTTTATGTTTTCCCCTAACTTTTATCGTGGACCTGCCAGGTGTTAAGAGACTCAAAGAGAGGCAAGTACCACCCCCTCTTCCTACAACCTCCCAGGTTCTGGCAGAGTTTGGATTTAGCCTGGTAGCCTGATAAGGCTCTCTGAATGTAAAATAAAATAAAATGGTTTCTTTGGGGCTAAGGGAGAGGGAGGAAGCAGCTTAGATTACCTGAAAAACTAATTCAAGCTCCCAGATAAATTCTGTCCCAGAGTCCAGGCCCTAAACCAGGCCTACTCAAGTTTTTACTTGTTTGTTGGGAGAAAGTGGAGGCAAGGCAGTTGGCAAACTTCTTAGGCAATGTATCCAAAATTTCAGGATAGAGGGCAATCAGAAGTAGAAGAGAGGCTGAGAGACAATTTGGGGTATATAGGGATACCCCTTTCCTCTATCCCAAATTCTGGATCAAAAGGCAACAGTGGGACCAAGTTGTGAAAATCTGTTTTGTGTGCACTAAATTTATTTCCTCTTGAACCACTTGCTGGCTGGCAATTGGAATAGACTGTGTGTGTACAAGCGTATCTGTGTGTTGGGGGCGAATTGCTTAGTCCTTTAGGTCTACTTTCTCCTCCCTCCATGGTACCCTGGAGACAGCAAAACATGCTGCCTACAGTGTGAGGAAGCAGGGCCAACAATTATCTGGAGTTATTTTATGTAATCAAGTGAACTAGGGGCCTGATCTGACTGTAGCCCCTATCATCTTAAGGCAATTGCCTTTGGACAGGAAAAGCAGTGGTATTGGGGCCTGGGGGGGGGGGCATGTAACAATGCTTGGGGAAAAAAAGAAGGATGTTCTGAGGTCAGGATGTCTTTTTAAGTCTGTAATGAAGCTGAAATGAAAAGGAGGTGGGGTGATAACTTCAGATCCACAGTACTTTCCTAAATTTGCCATTTGAAGAAATGAGAACAAGTAGGGGGAAATCATTACATTTTATTTCTTAAGTTTCTCCCAGAACTTACTAAAGGAACACTCTTCAACTCGGGAAAAGCAGCTTAAAAGGATTAGGGTGTTTATTTTATTTCCCCTTCTGTACAGGCATGGCTTTTCCCCAACCTCTTGTCACACACACAAAGTTACCCTCTGTCTCTTTTGGTCCGAAGAGGGGAAACATTAGAAATCCATAAATCTTGACAAATGAAACAAAAATTTTTACAGTTGAATTTTTGAAGATTTCTGTATCTGGTCTTCCCTCCAGTAAGATCCATTTTCTCGTCTTTCCCAAAAGTTCTCCTTTGCTTTAGACCTCATTACCCAGACCAGGGTTCAGGCTGCCCAGGCATAGGTGGGTGGGGGATGTGAACCTAGGCTGGAGCCCCAAGTTCTAGCAGTCTTGGTCCCCATACTTTGCCTGCCCAATGCTGCTATATTCTCACTGGGAGGCTGAGGGCCAGTCTTTTATTGAAGTTGAGTGGAGCAGTGGGGAAAGGCTTGGGGGAGGACACAGCCCAGGTTCACGGGGAGGACACAGCATTTTCTTTCCCATTGCCTTTATATTCTGCAGCGCCTCTGACCTCTCCCCCACCCCCATCTTCAACCCTCCCAGGCCAGCCCTTGCTCAGCCCTGGGTCTCCAGATAGGATGCCACTGCTTTTGTAGAACTGGGGATTTCTTGCCCAGAGTCATGGGAGAGGCAAGGCGCATGAATGCCTGCTAGCGCAGCATTGTATCTCTCTCTTCAATGGCCAAGTAAAAAGAAGGGGTGAATCTGCGGCTACACCAATCTTCCAAGGTCCTTCTCTCCAAGCATCAGGAGATCCCCACAGACCCCAAATCCCCTTGACATGTAAGTAGTTAGCACTGGATCTGCTCTGGGCTGAGGAGCACAAAAGTTCAAATTCCGTCCCTTGATTTTTGTCTTAACTTCCAGTGTTAGGGAGGGAAGGCGGGAAATCCGAATGTGAATGGAAAGGTTCTTCTTGGGGAAAAATTGGGTTTATGTGCTGAGTTCATGTATCTGGAGGTGGAGAAATTTGGTTCAAAAAGGAACAAGACGGAGCCCCCCCCGCCAAAAGTGAGACTTAGGGGGAAAGGACTGGGCACTTTTTTTCTCTGAGGGCTTCTTACTGCTGTTTGTATTAAGTTTGCTACAAAGTTTTCTCTGCAATCCACGTGTCAGCTTTCTTCCTGGGTGGACTTGGAAGATTGAAATCCAGAGACATTTTCATACTCTGTGTAAGTGTGTGTGTGTGTGTATGTGTTTGTGTGTGTGTGTGTGTGTGTGTGTGTGTGTTAGGGAGAGAGAGAGAGAACATGAATGTGGGGGAATGTGTAATACTTAAGTGGTTTGCCGGAGCTTGGAGTCAGGGTGCATTCTGCTAGGTTTCTCTGCTTTCCTGGGATTCAGGGAGAGTGCCTGGGAAAGAGGCCCTTGAGATTGAGGGTACCAGGACAAGGAGGATCAGTGTGCTGGGGCTGTTCCATGCTCCCCACCCCCACCCCCGCCCCCGCAGCAGCTTTTTTTCCCAGTCCTGAGGGAGCATGGTGTTGTACTCACAAAGCCTATTCTCCAGGTTCTCCAGTTTTTATCTAATACCCCACCTTTGGAGAGCTAATTAGAATGCTCCCCTTCCCAGAGAGTCTTCTATGATTGGAAAAAAGAAATGGAGGATCCCAACTCCAGCGGCCACCAGAGCAGAGGGAATATTTATTACCTTTCTGGATGTCATTACCTAAGAATACAATTTTATGAACTTCCTAATCTGTTGGCTTGATTTATCTGGATGGGCAGAAGCCCAAAATAAACATTTGGGGAATTTGGTGTGTGTGTGGGGGGGAATCTGCCTCTGACCAATCTTTCTAATAGAACTGACCACTCTTCTAGGCAGCCTGTTTTTTCTGCACCCAGCATTGCTAGCCCCATTTTAATTTTTCTCCTGCAGCATGTAGCTGCTCTGAGTATCCGAATTTTAGCTGCTCCAAGAGAAAAATGGTAGGATGCACTGTTTGAATCAGAGATTTGCAGGGCTCCCTCAGACACCTTAAAACCTGCAGCTCAGGAAGCTCCATTCCCTTTTGGACCTGGGAAGCAGACAGAAACTGAAGCCGGTCTGGAGGTTTGTTGCCTGCCCTCCAAGTCCAGGAGCCCCTTCTCAGGTCTGGCTTTCCCTCCACTCCTAGGAGATTCTCTTCTCTCTGGTGTCAGCTCTTAGCTTCTTCGAAACACTGGCGGATCCAGCGGAACCCAGATGAAAGCAAGCAGGGATAAGGGCCTCTGCATCTCCCTCTTCCTGCTTGTCGCTCCTGCCAGCCCCAGTTGAATCAGAAGGAACGGAAGACAAGGCTGGAGGTCTCCGAGTGTGTTTGAGGGTGAATAGGGTTATAGAGTCTAATAAAGGAAAAGAGATTATTTTAAATCTCCAGTCCCCATCAACAATTGCTAGATTCTTTAATAAGCAGAGTCCTCCTGGGTCTACTCTGACTGTCCTGGGGGTATGGGTCAAGCCTACGGAAATGTCATCTCTACTCACTCCTCACTTTGGAACTCCCTCTCTTCCCAGCAATAGAAATTGGAAGAGGGAAGTATATTTGAATTTAGGGGGGCGGGGCAGAAACCGTGAAACCCAGTATGTCGCAGGCACTGTCAAACAGCTAAACCCAACCCTGGGTTCCCGCTCCCTTCTTGCTCCCCTCTTCTGGTTTCCTGGGAAGTCGTAGGGAGACAATGGAGTAAAATCCGATGGTTTTCGGGGGAAGTGGGGGTGTCTCAGCAATTTTTCTTGGAGCAGCAGGGGTCTCAAGGATGGAGAAATTGGGCCAGCCAGGGCAAAGGCGAGCTTCCAGAGGCGGCGGCCCAGCTCCTCCTCCGGGTTCCACGTCGCGCGTTTGCCCAGGTCGCGGTGCGGCCTTCGGCCAGGTCACGACCCAGGGCTCAGGCTGCAGACAATAGGGCGCGAGGAGGGGGACGCGGGCTGCGTGGCCGGCTGGGTGGGTTCGGTGAACGGTGAACTCTGCTCGGCCTGGAGTGTCCTACCCTTTAGAACCCAACATACCCTTTCTTTCCCCTGTTTCACTTTACAGTTTTTTTCTGGAATCTCGAGTGGACTTTCAATGGCTGCTTCACCCTACCACTACCACCACCAAATGAAATTTAATTTTCCTTAGAAATGAAAGGGTACTTTTCTCCCAGTTACATGAGCAGGAAATGGAACGTTCCTTCTCAAGACTTTTGTGAGGTTGGTGAAGGGAGATCTAGCTATCAGTAGGAATGCTTCGAGCCAGCTCTCAGGACCGCCTAGAAAAAAATCTCAGTCCATCAAATCAACAATCCCCTTCATCAGAGGAATTCCGGGCCAATGTC